TTTGTAAAATAACATATAATGGTTTCAAAACTCAACTTATTCAAGAGAAATGACGATTCCAGTATGGGTCGTCGATTTTTTGGTCGTCGGTCTTGCTCCTCCTCGTTGGTTTTTTCTCTCCTCCTTCTCTTCCAAGTCACGTGTGAGTAAAAATGGGAAAATGCTTGACTTTTAAGTTTTTATTAGTTTTTCCTTTTTTTTTTGTATGGTCAAAGGCTATTGTGGAAAAGTGGCTGGGTCAACCGGGTATTTTCCACAATTTCGTCTACGCAGGGATTCAATTATCCAAATTGGTCGCGTACAAAAATCGGCTATTTTTAAGTGGATCGGGCCACACAATCCAGTTCGAGAAGAAAACAAGTGATCAACGGGGTTGTGGGCTGGAACCTATCCATTGGGCTCTCTTGGGCCTAAAAAGGAGAAAAAAGGTTATAAACTCACATAAAAGAGTATTCGTTTGTTCGAAGTGTAGATTTTTCATGGTAAAATTACCAAAAAACCTACCTTTTAATTATACATTTCAAATAGGGAAAATTGCAGCCACGGTACCAAACATTTCAACGTTTTGCAGACTTTGCCCAAACCTTTGTTTTGTGCCATCCGCGGTACCAAACCTTTAAACATTTTGCACCCGGAGTCCAAATGGACAGTTTCCGTCCAGTTGACCGTTAGTTGACCAATAATTAAAGTCTGACCAATTGTTGACCAATTTTTAAAGAGTAAATATGTAACGTTACATTTTTCCTATTAAAAAAATTAAAAGAAAAGAATTAAATAAAAAAAACCATTTACTGTTCATCTTCTTCCACCCCCTCCTTTTCGATCACCAGAATGCATTTTCCGATGAAAATTCAACCAGTTGATTTCAACATCCAAACTGAACCACCTATACTTGAGCCAGTGAAGCCAAACTGAACCACCTATACCAGGAAGAGGCTGCTGGCAACGGAAGCGCTAATGAGCCTCATCACTGTAACACGGATGATCAATTGGCTGGTTAATTGGTTCAATTGATGGATTACCCACTGTATTATGGGCCTCAATTGAATGTTGTTGGGTAGAATCCATCATTTGAAATGCATTTTGTCCATCACTTGACTGATTGTATATTTT